TATATTTGCACGAATAACCCCATTCAATTACGCTACTTGTCCTTTTGATTCTCAATAAAGCTTTGTTTTATGTCATTAAAAAGCGTTTTTAAAATATTATCTGGTTTTTTTTTCTGGTTACTTAACAATTGAACTTTTCCTGAAAGCGAATTATTATTTGAATGGACAATGGATAGTCATGTGTAATTCCACATGTAACCCAAACAATTAACAATTAAATATGTGTTACTTATTTTCTTAAATGAAAGTATTAGCAAAAAAGAGGAATTCTTAATTCTTGGAGCACCCGAAAGGGGGCCAAACAATTTTCGCATCTTCATGATAGGTGATAATTTCAAAAAGTTGTCAGTTTTATAGTACTTGAAATGAATCAACATTGTCAAAAGAATTCTTTTAACAATAAGTAATTTTGATGTATTCATATTGTACAAAGCCTTAACAAAAGGAAGGGGGGAAAAGAGAGGGGATGTTATTGAATTTTATATAAAAGAAAGCAAATATAACCCTGAATAATAATACTTGCAGTGTGCAGTTATATTGTTTATTACTTCCAAGGAATATATAATTCTTATCAAATCCGAAATCTAAACCTGGAGGGTATTAACACAGTTTACAGCAATATTATTATTAAAAAACAAGAGTTTTCATTTGTAACTTCTTCAGTAGTTTTTTAGTTTTTTAGGTTAAAAAAATAGAAATAATCATTTTTATTAATTAATGTAGTTTACAGAATACAGATGTCTTCGACAAGCAGTGATGGCTTCCACATTTTTCTAATTGTTTTTGGTAATATTTAAAATTAAGGCTTAGACATAATTTATTCCACCCCATGAGCTATAGAGACCTTCTGAAACCGTTCCTTCCAACATTCTCTAACGAGGGCCAAAATCTGGATTGATGCCCGTCGGTTTTAATTTAGTTCTTTCTAAATCCTAACTTTTTAAAGAGCTTTTAGTTCTGCTTTTTTAATATCAATCATCAAGATTTTACCATTAAATAACGTTTACTATGCGCCACTGTTAATATTATTCTATCTGTTAAAGAGACTGTAGGCTTAATTTATAGTAACCATTTATGCAAAGATGGCAAGGGTTCCCTTGAAATCTTAATCTGACCAACAATGTTGAAGTTACCGTCGTTTTCTTGACTTGAAAAGTTGTGATATTTTATTTAGGCTTATGTACTCTAGCTGGTGGACTAGTATACTATATTGCAAGAATATGGTTTGCAAGGTATGGTACAGGGTGTTCGCTAATCCTAACAATTCAGAGATAACCTGAATGATTGTCTTTGGTCTTACAGAGTTACCCACAAAGGATGAGACTTTAATGGCAACCGAAAATGATCTGAACGATGAATTTGTTTTTTTTTGTCTTGAAGATAATCTATATATGATCTACTAAATGATATAATAAAAGAAAAAGTTACAATTTTCATGGAGATTTTTTTTTATGAATTTCGTATAGTAATCTCTGAAGTCTCATCTTTTGTGGGAAACCCTTTATATGATGAAAAATGCTATTAAAAAACTCCTCTGATAAACTTATTACATAGTTATGCAGACTTTTTTAGTTAAACACACTTTGTTTTTTGCTATCAATGATTAAAGATAATTTTCAGTGCATATTTAATAGAATACTCTTTTTTACATTTGATCAAGTAAGATTGAATGAAAGGAGATTTGTTCCCCCAAAGTAAGTGTTGTTAATCAATTTGGTTCGGTTTTTTCTTTATATGTTTTCTCAGGTTCATATTTGGGAAAGTGTTATAAAAATAAATGTTTAAAAAAGGTTTATACTTTTATTCTTATTTCTATTCTATTGTATTTCTCTTGTACTGTATTGTGTCAACTTTAACCCTGACAGAAATTTTATGTTAAAAATAATCAAAAATAATCCAGACACCTTCCAAAACCTATCTTAAAGGGAGTTTTGATTTTGTTTTTTAAAATAATATTTTGCTTACAACTTGTTTTCGAACGTTCCTGGAAAATATGAAAATGTCGTCTTCATTACCAAAAATCCTCGAAACAGGAATAAATGTTTTTATAAGTAACTCTCAGATCATAACAATTAAGACATATTATGAAAAATCAACTATATATAAATGTGGCGAAAGATAATCGATGACTATAGGTTGTAATATCTGAATGATTTGTTTGAAATTAAATTGATTTTTTTGCGGTCTAAGTCGTATGTTGCAATTTTCTCAATTTGTATGGACACAATGTTATTCGGTATGAAACGTCTTTAACAATTTTCTCCTTATAGACGCAACAGATAGAAGTAAGATTAGTGGCGAACAAAAGCGCTTTTTTATCGCATTAAGCCTTTACCCTCTTTCATTTTTCGCTAACACTCCCTTTAAACCTATCTAAAACCTATCTAAAACCGAATCAAACACGATCCAAAACCTTTCTAAAACGAACCAAAACCTATCTTAAACCTATCTAAAACCTATCTAAAAACGAATCAAACACGATCCAAAGCCTTTCTAAAACGAACCAAAACCTTTTTTATAAACGAATCAAAACATATCTAAAAACGAACCAAAAACGATCCAAAAACCTTTCTAAAGCGAACCAAGACCTTTTTAAAAACGAATCAAAACCTTCCTAAAAACGAACCAGAAACGATCCAAAACCTATCTAAAACGAACCAAAAACTATTTAAAAACGAATCAAAACCTTCCTAAAAACGAACCAGAAACGATCCAAAACCTATCTGAAACGAACCAAAACCTATTTTAAAAACGAATCAAAACCTATCTAAAAACGAACCAGAAACGAATCAAAACCTATCTAAAGTGAACCAAAACCTATTTTATAAACGAATCAAAACATATATAAAAACGAACCAGAAACGATCCACAATCTTTCTAAAACTAACCAAAACCTTTTTTATAAACGAATCAAAACATATCTAAAAACGAACCAAAAACGATCCAAAAACCTTTCTAAAACGAACCAAACCCTATTTAAAAACGAATCAAAACCTTCCTAAAAACGAACCAGAAACGATCCAAAACCTATCTAAAACAAACCAAAACCTTTTTTAAACGAATCAAAACCTATCTAAAAACGAACCAGAAACGATCCAAAATCTTTCTAAAGCGAACCAAAACCTATTTTATAAACGAATCAAAACATATCTAAAAACGAACCAGAAACGATCCAAAACCTATCTAAAAACTATCCAAAACCTATCTGAAAACGAATTTGTTAAAACGGGTTTTCCATTATTTTAGGATTAAATATTAAAAGGTTAAAAAAAGCAAACTTTATCAAAAACAAAATGATTAGTGTTCATTTTGATAAATAGTAGATATAAATCTATCAAAATAAATTAATAATTGCATATAAATTTAACAGTTATTATGCTTACATATTATTTTTGGTCGTTTGATAGTTCTTTATTATTTATTAATAATGGCATGTTTTTAACATTAACATATCATTAGTGGAATATATGTGGAGCCAAACATAATAAAGGATAATATATAAGAAATAGTGGAATAATATATAAGGAGCCAAACATAATAAAGAATAATATTTAAGAAATAGTGGAATATATGTGGAGCCAAACATAATAAAGAATAATATATAAGAAATAGTGGAATATATGTGAAGCCAAACATAATAAAGGATAATATATAAGAAATAGTGGAATATATATGGAGCCAAACATAATAAAGGATAATATATAAGAAATAGTGGAATATATGTGGAGCCAAACATAATAAAAGAAAATATATAAGAAATAGTCAATGGGATTTTTCACCTATTTTATAATACAAGTATTTCCAAATTCTAGGATTACCCATATATCTTAGCAACCTGATGGTGTACTAACAGAATTCTTATTTTAAAATATCTAAGATCTACGACATTGGGTTGCAAAGATATATGGATTAGAAAATCAGAATAGGTGTCAAAGACACAATGCCTGCTAATATTACAACTTAAACAAGTTTCTTAATTTTTAATTCTTTGGTTTACTAACCATAGTTTTATGGTATATAGTACTTCAAGGCCCAGACTTTTAGAATTTTCTTAATACAATCATATAAGAAAAGAACTATGATCTTTTAAAATATAAATTTTAATGGATCAAATAATCTATGGTTGAAATATCAATTTTTTCACCATCAGATTCTCAAGATAAGGGGATTACAAACTTTTAGTTTGTTGCAAAGACTTTGTTTCTTCAAATCAAAGAGGTCGGATCAAACAATTAGTTTCGCGTTTTTGCTCGAAATGAATTTATTTGCACGAAATTTTGCATCAATTTCGTATTAATACGAAACCAGTTTTGCATAATTTTGCGCATTAATACAAGGTCATAGTTTTTGCACAAAATCGTGCCTTGCTCAAGATAAAGAAAAAATTGAAATTTTTTAAAATGTAGTAATGCATGAATAGAAACACAAAGAAAAAATGTGAAGTAGTTTCAGTATATTTTTTTCATGGCTGCATTCTATTTTATTACTGAGCAATACTCACAATATTATCATATTTATAGCTTAGACACTGTGAAAATGTTGATTACTTTCATTAATAAAATTTGTCATGATAATCATTGGGAAAATGCAAAAAAGGTACTAATGGAGACGTCTCAGTTTTACTGATAACATCTTTGTATTAATCTATAGATATTGATACATTTCTCTTGTTTTGGTGTCTGCTTGTTTTTTTTTTACCTATCTCCGTCGGCTGGACGTCTTAAATGACGGAGTGATAAATTGATTCATTTCCTGAAATTTGCTATCTAAATTAAACGAAATACCTCGAAATAGCGAAATAGCTCAAAATAACGAAATAGGTCGCATAACGCAAACTCTGATTTTCTAATATACCAAAATCTTTGCAACCAAATGTCGTAGACCGTTTATCTTTTAAAATGTTCTTCTGTTAGATCAAACAATCTTTAAGTTTTACAGAAATTTCTTTCCATGTTTTGTAATTTGGAACAGCCTGCATAATATTATAAAATACCATTCAGAAAGTTTGATGATACCTTCGAAACCTGTTTCTCCCGATTGTCCAATGTTTCGCAGAAAAAGGTAAAAATTAAGCAATTCAAATAAAAATCAGATGTTATCTTTTAAGTGACTCTCGATTTAAAAAATTGCAAGTTCGATTCACAACGGTATCCTTTAATGCATTAAACATCTATCTGCTTGTTTTTAAAAATTGATAATTTTCAACTGTGGTTTTTTTGCAAAATGTTTTGTCTCAGAAACAATGAAGGATTTTGTGAAAATTAAACACCGTTCACTTCTTATATTATTAATGAGTTAAAGTTTGAAAGAATTGTGAATCCGGCAAGACCTTTTTAATCGGAAGATCACTTAAAAATGCAAAATTGATATTTAGTGTCAGGACTCAGGGATCATACAGATTTTTTAAACATGTAATAAAACAAAAACAAATAAAACACACTTAAAGAAATTGAGTTTTTGCCACAAACTCTGATTTTCTAATTTTAATATCATTGCAAACCAATGTTGTAGACCTATAATATTTCAAACTATGAATTCTGTTAGATCACATGATAAGTTTGAAATATCAAAGGTTTATATCCTCAGGTTGCAAATATAAGGATTACAAAAATTGAATTTGCGGCAAAGACTCAATTCTTTTACAAGGTTTTTTTTTCATTTTGGTAATTTGAATATTTTTTTCAAGTAGATTATATCAAAGTACTATTTGATCACGAACAAATATTTGTATTTCGTAAACCAAATTTTTTATGTATTTTTGTTGAAGCTTGTTTTCTTGTGAAGGTTGAAGATGTGGATGCTGTGAGGAGGTTTAGTGGAAGCCAGATGTGGGATCCAGATTCTTCATTCAAAATGAGGAAAAATTAAAGGGATTGTTTTATTCATTCATAGTGACCTTAGATACAGAGACTGTAAGGGAAATTTCAAGTGACACTCCATGCAACGATGGTAATGCCTGATTTACAAAGTATAAATTAGATATGCAAGTTTTTGTTACTTAAAACGGTTTATTTCAATTTGCGGTTTCTCTGCGAAAGTGACTTGCGCATTTCTTGGTTAGGAGAACTTCACAGAACTAACGAATTAGAAAAACAACAGTTTCTTACCTATTTTTGATCAGATTAAGGTTTCAAGGGTACCGTTTTAAATCGGACATTGCCATTTTTGCATGGATGGTCACTCATGAAATTAATTTTAATTAGTGTCAAATGTCAATAGTGATCAAAAGATTGTAAGCTCTCAAGCAAAAACATACAAGAATTTTCCCGCTTGCTTTTTTTAACTTAAAGCTAAAAGCAAGAGCCCTAAAGTTATCAAATCAACATGTCTAGAGCTACGAAAAAGTAAAAATGAGTTAGTAACTCAATATCAAAGGCCAAAGCATTGCAACACTTTAAAGTCGTCCTATAGAGTCTTGATAATGCATGGTTATACATCGAAAGAATTCATCAAATGTTGTATTCTTCACTTACTAATAATGGAATGTTTCAGATATTTAGTTTTTAATTAAATGATTATTTAGATCTCTTTAAAACTGTTCCCGCATATTCATGGCTATTTATTTATTTTCGCAAATACTGAGATTTACGTAAAATAGTATAAAACCCATTGAAAAATTGTCAAGACGACATTTGATAAATTCTTTCGATGTATGGCTCATTTAGGGTTTAACTGTAGCAGTTTGAATCTACGTATATGTGTTATGAATCGTTAATGCACCAAACCCGGGACCAAACTCATTTATCAACAATATATTTGTATAGTTAGTTAAATAAATTTTTTTTTTTTTTTTCATCGTCTCTGCCACAACTTTTAGGATTATGAATTTGTTAAATGATCTTTAGAATAAAACTGATTTTTTATCGTTTTAATTTATTATTACTTCAGCCAATATTTTGCTTTTAGTTTTTTTCTGGTAAAGAACAAATATATGCACATAATAAAAACTGCTGATGTCTCCATTGCTTATTTACAGTGGTCGGCGTTTATATCAATACAATGAAGACGAAATTTGATTTCAATTTCGTTTTCTAAAAGCTTGATCAAACAGCATATTAATACACAATACACATAAACATGAAAAAAAGTTGTTAAATAATAGCTTCTTTTTTTTTACTTGTAAAATTATTTTTGTGAAAAACGCTTGTTAACAATAAAAACTTCAATAAAAAAGTCGTCTTCATTGAATTGATACAAACACTGGTCACTGTATCAAATTAAAACTATAAGAGTGATTATATTAATTCTTTTAATGCATAATAGAACAAAACTAACTTTTTACACTGTAATTTATTATAAATTCATAGTTTATTTTTTTTATTTTTTTTTATGTTTTTCTTACATTTACAATATTGAGATTTCTAGCGGAATGAAATAATCGTGTGCGCGTAAAGTCCGCATTTTGTGCGCATTCATTGCGTAGTGTCCTAGAATGCACGTAATCCTAAAATATGAAATATGAAAACAATAATGTTTGAAAAGTCAGAACAAACATTTATTTCCACCATTGTTGACCAAAGATCTTTCCAAACAAAAAAAATTGCAAAAATTAAAAGTTACATGTCCATGAAACCCAAAATGTGTGGCTTTCAACAGCACGAAAACTCGAATTATGTAGCTTACTGCATTTTTAACAAAAAAATAAATAAAAATTACTACGTAAGACGACATTATGTATATGCTTTAAAAAAGTAATGGTTAAGATTTTCCAATAAAGGGGCCTTAGATGGGGGGTCCTCAACGGGCGCTGAGCCCCAGTGGACCCCCCCCCCCACGCTTAAATTTAACCTAGTGGAGTGATATATTTTGCTTTATCTTAAATGCTTCATCATCTGGATCTCCAATGTGGTGACTTTTGAATTTGAGAATAAATGTTTGATTACGTTTCCCTTTTGTCCATTTGACAGCCCAATTTTTCTTTTTAAATAATCTTTTTTTTCTTCTTTATTTTCTTATCAACCTTTTTATCGATCTTGATGGTTATTATGTAGTTAAAATTGATGAGGGTCTACCCAGACCGAAATATATTTTCAATAAATGTGGAACTAAAATCTATTTCTTTTACTCTACACAGGTTTGGTCTATCACCATCACCGAATTATAAATCTTTAATTACAGTCATTACTGCAGGGCATGACCACTACGGATTATTAATAAGGTTTTGAATTAGACCATAAAACTGCATTTTTAAAAGGAGATCAATTGATGATCCTTGAATTAATTTTTTTCTCTACAGGATATGACCACAATTCGGAATATCGAGGCGGTATTAAACTAATCTGTAGGGTAGCATTTAAGGAGGAGAAGGATATTTAATCCCTCAAGCAAAGTCGTTACTGCAGGATCACAACGGGATATCGACATGAAATAAATATCGTAGTAAACCCTATATCTGTAAACCTGGACATACCTGCATATATATTACGTTGTACATGATCTGTAATAACTTCGCTCGTTATTAATTAACTACGCTTGTAAAAAAAACTACGTGAAACTTGTATCACGATTTAGCTTAATTAACTATACTTGTAAATAACGTACGTAAAACTTGATATTAAGTTTATCAATCTAGCCTGTATCATAGAACTCAAAATATAGAGTCGTATCCGGATTGATATTGACTAAAGTATTATTGAGGAACCTTAAGTTCAAGATTGAGTTGTATCTTGTAAGAAAGATACCTTAGAATACAGACAAAGTCATATCCGGATTGATATTGACTAAGGTATTATTGAGGAACCTGGAGTTTGAGATTGAATTGTATCTTGAAAGACAGATACCTGAGACTACAGATAGAGTCGTATCCGGATTGATATTGACTAAGGTATTATTGAGGAACCTGAAGTTTGAGATTGAGTTGTGTCTTGTTAGACAGATACCAAAGAATACAGACAAAGTCATATCCGGATTGATATTGACTAAGGTATTATTGAGGAACCTGGAGTTTGAGATTGAGTTGTGTCTTGTTAGACAGATACCAAAGAATACAGACAAAGTCATATCCGGATTGATATTGACTAAGGTATTATTGAGGAACCTGGAGTTCGAGATTGAGTTGTATATCTTGTTAGACAGATACCTGAGAATACCGAAGGTTATACCTGGATTGGTACTGATCTTAAAGTATTTAGAATGGTATATTCTTAATCACGATCTTTTTATTAATCTGGAGATTAATAACAAGAGGAGAAGAAGCATAATTAAATTAGATTAAGAAAAAGAGGAGATCAAGCATTGATCTCGATATCCACCATTTTTAAGTTTTTAGCTCTGATCAATGTTTTTTTGGATCAATGCAGTTACACATTTATTTAGGGTAAACAGGGGTAAAGAAGGGAGAGATTAATTGTACAGTCGTGTGATTAATTGTACAGTTGTGTGATTAATTGTACAGTCGTGTGATTAATTGTACAGTCGTGTGATTAATTGTACAGTCGTGTAATTAATTGTACAGTCGTGTGATTAATTGTAATGTATCCCGGGTATTTCAGATAATGACTGAATCAGTTATTAATTAAAATGGGTTTGTTTACACTGCACAACTGCTCTACTGCTGTGTCTCATGTTCAATGGACTAGTTATAAGACCTAACTTGAGTTTAAAAGCCGTCTTCCTATTCCTGAGGTTTCTGGTTCTAAGCTTAATAAAATATGCGCGGGGATTACTAAATAATTGAAGAAACATGCTGTATCATTTTCAAAATAGTTTAGTCTGAGCGTCGCACTGAGAGTTTTTTTCTTTGTTTTTTTTCTCCATCTTATTTTTTTCTCAGTTATCATTCTATGCATCCAAAGGAAACTATGCACTATATAGAATTAACTTTAAATTCTTATGGACTTACCTGTTTTCACTAAATCGGAACAAAATTTCTGCTGAAGCTTATAGTGTGCACTCAACTCAGCTGTAGTTACATGAATACCTTAAAAAGTACAAAATATTCTGTGTCAAAAGTAGTTTTCAAAAATTTTAATGCATGTAAATATTAATTATCTGAGATTTTTATAATGTAAACATAAATATTACTAGGCAATGTACATATAACAGCTTGCAAATCATTTGCACAACAATTCAACAATTACGTTCTGTAAACAGGGAATAGAGTTTTTCAGCCCTTTTACTCATTAAAAAGACTGGAAAATTATCTTTTATATAAGTCGGATATTCCAAAATCTCAGCTGACCGATGTTGTTTAAAAACCTATATTACATATATCTGAACCCTCTTATATTTTACTTCTTTATCAAGTAGTCTTGAACCCAGAACTCCTTGATGGAAAAGAATCCTAAAACGAGAGGTTGCAGCATTCTTTAGTTTAGAATTGTTAAGTTTCGAACAGGTTTGATGGACCTTCAAAATAGGCCATTTTTTTGCAGATCATTTAACTGGGACCTCTTTAGGAAATAAACATTATAGTAATCCAATTATGTAAGTTTATTTTTTTAACTCTCTGCAATATAGATTTGAATAGAATAATAAAATTTATTAACTGTTTTAAAACAGAGAGATTTTCTAACATTCGACATAGTTTGACTCGGAACGGAAGCATCGAACGACAAAATATTACTTAAACGACCCGTCCTAAAATTAGAAATTATATAATGTAGATCAGTTAGTACAGTTGTAAATCGGACTCACCACTCTACAAATGAAAGGTCACTTCAAATTACACCTGCATCTACGGCAAATATATAGCTATCTATCTTTCTATCTATCTATCTATCTATCTATCTATCTATCTATTAATCCATTTATCTTTAAGACAACTATTTATCACATAATATGAATTGGTTTCCTTTTAAAAGAGGAGTATTCCATGAGGTGAGCCGCTTCACGCAAATCTGCCCCTTCAGTAAAAGTAAATTCAGCCTATATAAAGCATAAAGTCTTAACGCGTCAACCTTGTTGCACCGGATAGTCCTGTCCATCGAGCTATAGGTACAGATACAAACTGGGACCGGAAAGGTTGACCCGGCCAGGAAATTTAAATGTACTACGGCTGCCCGTGGCTTCGTCCCATCATATTTCTGATGGTTTTCAATCCAATCATTGAATTTCTACAGAGTAAGAATTATTGTGGATTTAATCTGAATGGAGAGAAAAGTATTACTCTGCCCTATGCTGACGATTTTTGCCTGATAACAACAGATCTGAGAAAACATGAAAAAATTCAAAATGAAATAAAATCCAAGATTAAAAGTATGGGAATGAGATTAAAACCAGCAAAATGTAGATCATTTTCCATCAGATCAGGTGTACCTAGCAGAATAAGCTTTACTTTTGGTGAAACTGAAATTCCAAATATATTTCAAGAAGAGCAACAACTTGTACAACACATGACGCAAGCATACACTAGAATAAGAATACTGGGGGATGAAAGAGTTAACTCTGCTTTACAATCTACATTAGACAGGGATTAAATTGGCTCCGCAAAGATTTAATCACAGACTATGCAGAAAAAAATGTTTCAACAAGCCAAATTAGAGAACTATGTTCAAGCAGAAATACCTGAGTGGGATGACCAAGCTTCAAAACATCAATGCTATAAAAAAGTATCTTTTAAAAATGAAACTTTCTGCAGAGAGAACATTCAGAAACACTCATAAAACTAGGACATTTTCTCTGTCTGCCTTTTGAAATCGGCTCAAGAGGATATATCTCACCATCATGTAAAACAAATCTAAAGAAACTGATTACGTTTTGCAAAACCAGTGTTTGTTTCAAAGCAATGTGCGAAAATCTATCAACTCTTGCAGTGCTGTCATCATACCACATTTTAGAAAACGAAAAACACTAGACTGAGACCAAGAAACTCCATTTCTGAAAACCATCTCATGAACTAAACTATACTCATGCTAAAAGTCTTGTCTGGCACCTGTTTTTTGGCAAACCCTTTCAATTATAAAATGCGATATCCAGAGAGAAGAGTATTAATATTAAATTGTTAACTTTTATATTGTTTAATGTAATTTTGCATTAGACAAAGGTAAATGTTGAATATACTAAACTGTCAGTTTAAATCTGCTTGTCTTGGCTTGTCGTCATTATTTACGTACACATTATTGAAAATCTGATCCTAGTTCTATATTCAATAATATTCATTGCATGGTTGAAATGGTATTTTTGTCTGTCTGTCTGTGTGTGTGTGAATCAGCTGGTGAAAAGCTGTATATATATAAAGTGTACGAGAGAGTCAGTATTGATCCTGCCCCCGCCCCTGTTAAACTATATACAACCCGGCTCTATCTATTCTTCGCAAATACTCCTTGGTTGCAAATTCAAATCTTATCTTTCAACAGCAACAACAATTCATCAGGTAATATTTCAAGGAACATTATAGCAGCGGTTCTTATCATATTACAGCAATTTAAACCGGCAAATTGTATCAACAAAAAAGTAAATATGTAATTCTTTAAAAAGTTTTAAAGGACATTAATAAATAATAATGTATCTTTAAAATAGTTCATGAAGGTAAAACAAAACCAATAAAAAGAATTTGTGCAAAAAAAAAACGCAGACTCACTTGGATAGTTATAAGTTCTATTTATCTCAAATTCTACAATATATGCTCAATTTTATCAAAGAAATTGAGCCACAAACTTTGATTTTCTAATCTTTATAACTTGGCAACATTGGTATATTGTGAACATTTACCAGTCAAAGTAACTTGTTAGATGCTCGAAATCAAGGAGAATTGAACAGAAGGAGGGGGCGATAGGGTTTCGTACACTTTGCTGTGACGGTTTTGGACTGCTGAAGAACTAGTTTTTGCGTAACAACAATAATAAAGATTGTACACAATAACACAAATGATAAACAGACATCTGGCGCAATCGTAGATCTTAGATATTTGAAAAATATAAATTATGTTATTTAAAATAATCTAAGTTTAAAATTTTAAAGATTTTCACCAATAGTAAGCAAAGATATAGTAATTAGAAAATGTGTGTTTGTGGCAAAAACTCAATTCATTAAGATGTCTGAAAATGATTCAAGTTTGTTTCTAAAGAACAGGTGCGGGTTAGTCATTTTATTGCAGATTTTATGTTTTTATTTTGTTTTCAATAAAACAAGTTGACAGGGATTAAGGTTAAACTATATAATCAGAACTTGTTTAAATTTTGTTGAAAAATGGTAAGTTTTCTCTCTGCATAATGCGTCCTATTTCTTGCAGAAAATGACAATCAAGGATAAAATAAAATCATCTGGATTATACCCAACCAACTAATTTAGTTTAATGTATGTCAACATTTGTCAATTAATACTATTATCCAACTTTTCCTAGAAATCATACTCCCTCTTTTCCTGTTAACCCCCCCCCCCCCCCCGAATTTGAGGGGTGGCCACCCCCATACACGTACACAGAAATTGAATACTACAAATACCGTTCTAAACTTACTTAAATAGAAAAATAAAGTGTCAGCAAAATTATATTTTTCTTAAAGGAAAGGGTGGGGGCGGGGGGGGGGGCAATGTTTAACCCTGTATGGACAGGTCGACAGTAGCCAATAAGCAACTTGTTCAAATTATTTGTAAGCAGAAGGCAATATAAAAAATAATAACTTAAAAAATATTTCTTAAAGGTCCACAAATTATGTTTGTAAATACGTATCTAAGAAATATATTTTCTTCCTATACCTATTTTCCTGTCAACTGTGGTTAAAAACAACTGCTATGAATGCATATTCACAAGTGAAAAGTGTAAAAAGTTTTTTTCGTAACTGTGTTGTGATTCTGTTTTCTCCACAAGTTTGGGTAAAAAGATCTTGTTTATACAATATATTGATTATTTATGTTGAGAGAGTAGTTTGTTGGTCAATCTCTCCTACCCCCTCTTCACCCTTTTTCGTCCTTCTCCCCCCTCTTTCCGCCCTCCCCCTCACTTACATTTTCCCCTTTTTAACCCCTCCCCCCTCTACCAGTTTAAGATTCATGCTTGCTGACTATAAAATGTTCAGTGTAGAACTTTCTTTCTTTGCATGAGTCATATTGATGGTAGCTTGTTTATGTTAAAACCCTGTGGCCTGTATCTCAGTTATCAGAACCAGCAGAAACAGCCGTGAATTTAAAAAATCGTCTAATGACTTGGTGGCCGATAGACGACATTCATGGTCTACCAATAGATAAATCGGCTCGGTCGTTGCCCGTGGAATTTACTTTTACGCTCTGCGTTAAAACAGTTAATCCGAGGAATAATGGTTACCCATTTTATGAATTTGAACTGGCAATAGGTAGTTTAGCGAAGTAGCTCAAATTCATTAAGTTCGGTTCCAAGACAAATAAAATAAATACTGGCCGGCGCGGCTGACACGCACCGAGCCATTTAAAATATACATTCAGCGGCTCTATGTTTACAATTAACACACGTACAAATTCACAACTCATCAACTCTGTTTATGTATAATATATGTGAAATTTAAAAACAAAATAAACATAAAACCTGCACATGAATTATATGAAATATAATTGAATAGATGATTTGAAGTAGAAACTCTTTGAATTTGTAATGAATAAGTAAATAACTCATAAAAGGATCGATATTTCATGAATATATTAATTATTTAAGCATGAGTCATCTTTGTAATAAAGCTCTTTGCTATTAAAAATATAAACATATATATATATATACATATATATGCGTATGCCATGGCTGAAAACCAATAATAATAATAGTATCAATAATAATAATAAATCCTAATTCTAAAAAGTTCAAATATTATAAAATGATTAGAATGGATGATGATATTGGAAGCCTGCAACCCTGGCAGATCTACTCTAGCCTCTACCTTGTGTTCTGGTGTGTTGCCGCGTACTTTGATCATTTCCTTCTCACATTCGTCTTCTGCATCGCCTTCGGGGTCATCTCGGAGATAGCCACCAAGTATATGAACGGGGAACAATTTTCCAACAAAAAGGTAATTCAAGGATTGTAAGCTGAGTTCTTAGAGACTCTCCAGTTTAGGTGTTTACGATTTACAACCCTTGTCAAGTATGAATAAGATAACCTTATTTTTCTAGCTAAAAATAGATTTTATAAAATTGTGGTTCATCTACCAAAGTTTACATTGCAAAGGAAATTTTACACTTTTCAATATGGAAAAACGATTTCTCAGAAGACAGAGGTGCCTTTGTTAATCGGACTATGCTACATCTATTAATTGTTATTCTTTTTAAAACTGGCCTTTTCTTCAGGTTCATTTCTTAATTATAAACTCATACATTTTTTAAATTCGTTTTTTAACTCTTCGCAAAAGAAAACTGGAAATAAAGTTTTGTTTTGCTAATTCTATTTACATACAATGGCATGTGCAAAGTACTACTACATAAGCAATAAAACTCTCCGGCTTGCAAATAATTTGCATACTTTTCATTTTCACCGTTTTTGCGATGCGGGTACATCATGTTTTTAAGGAACTGTAAATTTTATTTCAAGTGACCCTCCATTTCATGAGATGCAATTCACAATTCATAAATGTACCGTTTAAACCTTCATATAAATAAAATTTACCTTCTCAGAAAGTGTTAAATTCTGTAAAGTTCTTTCCTTTTCTCTGCTGAATAAATCCACACTTATATTAAATACACTCAAATGAAAAACTACTAGTATGAGATAGAAAATATAATATTTTTTTAGATTCAGTTTTTAAAGGTTTTGGTGATAATATCATTAAAGAATATACCAATATCGAAATGACTTATTAAAACTTGTGAAATATGCCTATCAACCGTTTCTTTATTTAGATCAGAATGTTAGTGATTTCGATACTGAAAAATGATATTACTCAATCATAATGTCTTATCATTCATTTACCATTTTCTTACTCTAGAATGACGAACACACTTCGCTGGTGAGCTTGGCCAAAAACGAGGCCACCCTGGTCCCCGGCCTCACTCAGATGGCCAAAGCCGAGGCCAGTAGGACTCAAGAAACGGAGGACAACATTCGAGACAGGAAATTTATTCAAAATCTTGAAAACCTTTTTGTATTTCATCTCCTTTCCCTAGATAACTATACATGTAACATGCAAATACATTGTTAAGTACATAAGATGGCAACATAGTATTTGTACACTCTCAGTACATCTGTATTCTTACGTCACAAGTGTCAACTCAGTGTTTATTGATAAAAGTGATAGTTTAAAGATAAAGAGCTTATCTTACAGTGGAAAAAGGTACAATTTTATGTGTTAATTATTTTCTGTTTTTACACTTTTTTATTTAATCTTGAAAAATATGTCAAATAATATAATGAGAAAATTTGACACTTGACGTCGTGTCTTATTGATCCATTTCTCTGTTGCCACCTATTGTAATTGATAATCTATGTGTATACATGTAACAAAGTATTGTTAAGGGCCATTCAAGCAACGTGCATTCGGATTCTTCTATTTGAATTCAATCGCTGTTTGGTCTTTAATTCAACAATCTTTTAGAATATGCTCTGACATTGAATAATCTTAATTCTTTTTACCTGTGCCAAGTTTCATACTGTATGATATTTAATCTATGTTTAATATATCTATAAGGATTCGGATGCAGCTTAATAAGCATTAAATGTGCACACACATTAAACATATTGAAACTAAACACTTTGTAACATTATATTCTTTAGTTTTAGGGCTACTTGAAGCCCCCCCCCCCGCCCTCCTTCAGAAAAATAATGAAATATCAATGTTTTTAATTTTGAAATTTGGTTAGTTTCTATAAAAGAGTGACTTACGGATTTCTGCTACAAAAAAAGGGAACATTTTGTCATAATTAAACCTTTCCGAGCTGCAGAAATAAATGTTGAGCGGGTTTAATAATCCGACTATAATCTATAACAGAGAATGACTTGAAATTACGTCTACAGACACTTTCAGTTTTCTTCACATGCTCAGGGATGTTATTAATACAAATTATGACTTTGACGCTAAATCCTTGAACCGGGTTGGATCATTTATGCATGGGATTAAGGTACAAAAATAATTGAAATTATTTTTAGAAACAGCATGAATTCACCAACTAAAATATGGGATAAGGAAATGGAAAAAGAAGAATTAGAGGAGGAAGAAGATGAAGAGGAAGAAGAAGAGGAAGATCTAAGAATACCAGTGTCCAGTGACAAGGAAATAAACTTGTTTTCTACCAGGTAAACCAAGTGAAATATGAATGCATAAAACAGTTCCCTTCCAGAATCCAAGCAGTAGTTGTTGAATCTTTTTAACTTTGCATTAAAAAAAACGAAGATGGAATTGATTCTTTGACACAAACTCTGATTTTCTGTTCCCTATATCTTTGCAACCCAATATCGTAGACCCTAGATATTTCAATGTGTTAGATCAAATATATCAAAGGTTTACTCCATCAGGTTGTAAAGATATTGGGAATAAAAAACTTGAGTTAGCGGCAAAGACTCAATTTCATAAGATTTTTTCTTGTACTTTTAAGGGTCTTCTGTCAAGGCGCAACTTTTTTTTGTGAAACGTTTTATAATTTTATAAAATATCTAACTCAAAATCCCCCATTGCCCCCCCCCCCTTCCATATCAACCCCGATGAGGAAGGGTTGGCTGCTCTCAGGGTTTTGGAATTGCTCCCAGGGTTTTGGAGTGCTCCCAGAATTTTGGAGTTGCTTCCAGGGTTATATTTATCCGACCTTTTATGAAGAAAAGTTCTAACAAAAGTACTTTTAAATCGAAAATTGAAAAAAAAAGGCTCTGCTACCCCTTTTTTTACTGATTTTGTTCAGAATCAGATATTTGCAGAGAAAAAAATCTCAAACATCAGTAGACTGTGGTGATCATAAAGTTTTGATTAACCAAACTGACGACATTTGTTTTGGAACTGTTCCGAGGGTTTTGGAGTTCTCCCAGGATTTTGAAGTGGCTCCCTGGGTTTTGGAGTAAAATGTGAAAGTTTATGAGAGCCGCCACCCCTCCCTTTCCCGGTATAACTGCTTCAAATATCTTTTTTTTAAGTGCTTCGTCAATTTACTTCCTCTTTTCAACTAATTAAATGAACCACCAACTTATTTTTCCTTCCCACCTTCTCGTTATTCAACTCATAAAAAGTATTCAAAAATGGGTTATTTGATAAAATATCTCTGGTTGCAGCAATTAAGGTAGAAGTTGATAATTCGGTTAAAATATCTTACAAACTAACGCTTTATTGTAATTTGCAGCGAGTATTATTCATGTCGTCTTTTCTTATTTTATGAAATTCTGCTGGCGAGGCTTTTTAGGAATACAATATTCGTAAGTTTGTAACATTTATAGCAAATTACAAAATATTTGTGAAATTTCTTAAATGAAAGAATTCCTAAAGACGATATTTATCCTACAGTCTAGATATAGGGGTTACACACAAAGGATGATACTTGAATGGGATGAAACCTTTTTCAAACCATGATGTTTAGTCCTCTGCATAGCATTCGAATCGTGTTGATGCTATCAATAGATTAACATATCAGCTGATCTGAAGAAAAGACTCAGAATAAGTTCATTGCTTTATCAATCAAGATTTAAAGGATTAGGGCTGACAAAATGTGTATACAGTCGTCTCTGAAGTCTCATCCTTATATTTTTGATCCCCTTCAATTTTAAACTGTTTTTATTTGCCAAATCATTAAATTAACTCTATCAGACTAAACTCTTAACAGAAGACTGATTTAAACCTTGGGACCGTCATATTCTACGAGTTACATTTCGTCTTTACAGTCTTATCCTTTATGATTATTCCTGAACAACCATCTTCAATTTCAGCTTATCCCTGAACGGAGTGGTAAAGACGACATATAGTCTAATTTATCTAGTGTAATGTTCTCACCATGCAGATGTTAAGCTAGGTCAGTAACCGTATTTCTATTTCAGGATTATTTGACAAGTGCAGATGATACGATAAGCTCACTTGCTAACAGACTCAGGGACTAATCATTTAAATATTCAAACACGCAATGTTAAACTTTCTTTTTTTACAGTGATAACCAGAAAAAAATGGAATAGAAAGATGACATTAGCAATACTGAAGCGTTTTGATGTTGTTACAAAGCAAATATTTTTTTTAGTAACTTAGCAAAGCACAATTTAAGTGAAAAGGGTACAATTGCTATGACTAATGTTCATTGAACTAGTTTAAAAGTCGTCTTCCTATTTCAGAGTTTTTTTTTACTAAAATTGCAAAAATATGAGCTGACTGCTAAAGAAATGAAAAGTGAAATTGTCTGAATTCACTCCACACTCCTTCTCTAAGCTTAAAAGTGACGATATTTTTCTCACCGTTGCATGCTCAGATTAAGGGTATCTTGAAATCTCATTACCAACATTTTAAATATATTTTTATAATGTCAATCTTTATTAAAAAAGTTTGAAAATCAAAAGGATTGGAATCTCCAGTCAAGTTCTTGAGGATGATCAGGATGATAAAACTAACGAGCAGCCCAATACAAATATCGAATATGACGATTCAAATAACTATCATGAATCTGTAGAACAAAAGGTAAGCAAAATTATTAATTATTCCTAATTATTCTAATAGGAATCCTAAATAATTTACCCTTTATCACAAACCCAGTATCAGAATCCAGGTTTCATGAATTTTTAATTTTTATTTTGACGATACAGCAAGGCCCATAAACCTGTGTAAGAGGAACACAACTTTCAGATTTATAATCTAATTTTAATAGTCCAACGAACATGAAACATGTGCAGTGTGCATATATGTACCAAAGAGAATAGATTAATAAAGAGTGGAATTAAGTCAAACAAAGTGTAAAACCCCCATTTTGTTGTACTGTTATACATACTTCATGTTATCTAACAAATTTGTGCATTATAACCTTTAGGGTCCTGGAACATATTTTTAAAGAACCAATATTCTTGAGTATTGTTTTATTTTCTCTAAATCAATTCTCTGACAACCTGTCATTACATTCCCGAGATTATTTCAGCTTACGCTATGTCGATAGATATCAATATAATTTTTTTTCAGTAAACAATTTGTTTCTTTATCCGAGGTAAACAAACAGTAAAATCAATATTTTTGAAAAATACTGAATATCGTCTGACTTTTCTGTACATCAAAATTAAAGATGGTTATGAACACTATAATTTCAATTTACTAATTAGTTTTACTTTTATCTGTTGCGCTCATGAGGAGAACATGGTTTATTCAACATGTCTTATACAAGGTGTCCCACGAAACGTGGCAGTTGGTGAATAGTTTAAAATGTCTTCTACCATAATTAGTTAAGTTATTTGATATTAAAGAGAATGATAACGTATATTGTATGCCAATAAATGATATTATTGTAAAATTAATTTCAAAGTAAAATATATATTAGAAAAAGATTTTTTTTTACGAAATGACATGCAAAAAAGTCTTTAATATCCAATATAATATATGAAAGAAGACATTCAAAACTATTCAATAACTGTCATGTTCGGTGGGACACCCTGTACCTCAGAGTGTTGCGTCTATACAAATTCACAGAGTTAAATTAATCCACTCAGATCGTAAATAATCTAATTAAAAGAGGTGGAATTAGTCTTTGGACAATATTAAAATCAAAACAATATGTTTGTTTTATATCAAAAAGAAATTCTGTATTGCAAAGATTTTAATACCAATTTATGCACATTTGTAAAAACTTTGTTTTTAGTCTTAATGCTTCTTCCTTTTTTCTATTTCTTGGCCGACTTGTAAGTTTAAGTACAAATGTTAAATTAATTATAAGATAATAGTTCGATGTCTGCGCAACTGTAGCAGACAGAAACGTTTGCCAGCCAGCTTTTTTTGGAATTATAAACGTCGATTTTTTCATTTTCAACCTCACAAACTCTTATTTTTTTGAAAATATAAAAAAGAAATGCATCTCAATTATAAAAACAATCATTTAATAATTTTAAATTTTTTTAAAAAGTAGACGTTTAGCCAAAGAGAATAGAATATATGTTAGAGGGGAATTTAAAGAATCTCTACGTATGAATATTTTCAGTCCCTTTCAAGCCTGAAAGGGAGTTCAAAGTGTGCAAATCATGTAAATGTTCACAAATTATATGCAGTATAGAGTACAAGAACACAGTATGTTCCCTAGACTATCCATTTCAATTTTGTTTTTTTTAAAACTGTTAAATAAACTTTATAATGAATTAGGTGAACAAAAAACATCATTTGATTTATAGTTATAACGGAAAATCATCGTTTGTAAAGTAAAAGGCATAGAGTCTATATGAAATGATCATTGGTCAATTATGAAATTTCATAATTTGGTTTTCTTTTAAAATTAATTTTAGATTTTCTATAAAATGGTATTCCAGGGCCCAAAAGGTTATATAGCATAAATATGTGAAGTACACCTGCAGTATAGAAACAGTACAACAAAATGGCCGTTTTACACCTTTTTCTAGTAAATTCCCCTCCAATATATGTTCTATTCTCTTTGCATAGTCCTTAATCAAAAAAAAACTAAAAATACTCATTTGATGCCCCTGGCATACTATTTGTAGGTATACCCCAAATGAAAAGTATTTATAAAAGCACGACAACAATAATGATTGCAAAAATTTAAAAATTTAAATTTAAAAATTTAGATTTTACAACCTCAAAGTGTCGATTTAAATTTTTTATTTGTTTTATATAATTTAAACTATCAAACGATAGCCGGACGTTTCACCTTCTTTCCATGGCGGCAAATTACTGAAACTGCAGTCAGGGCTGCTTTTTTAATACAACATAATCTCTTCAATATTAGTGTTGATACGAAATGAACTTAACATTACAGTAATGAATAACACTAATAATTTGACAAAAAAAATATTATTCATTATTTGTAAAAGATAATTTAAATTGCATACATCAAAATAATTGACAATTAGTTTAAGTCGAATATTTCTTTTAAGAGTTCTTGCCGATTGAGATGCCTGCGGATTAGTGTAGGTCTTGTCTTTGAGCTCTTTAAAAAGTAATTTAACCAATGTGTCTTCTCATATAAAAAGGACTTCCCAGCAGTTTGTATTCCAGGCTGGTCAGCTTTAAAACTTCTAAACCCAGGGGTGTACGAGAGCATTTGTGTAGGGGGGGGGGGACCGTTTGCGCGCGTCGGCGCGCCAAAAAAATATTGTACCCCCCTTGGCAACATTGGGCCCACCCCTTAAAAACTCCTTTTTTGGAAAAAATATTGATCCTTTTAACTATGTAAACTTAAATGTATTTAATTTTTTTGTTGCCAAGGGGGGGGGGGCACAAAACCAGGCAATCTCTCTTAATACTGTGCTGTAAGCTTCAAGGGATGAAAAATATAGATGGAAACGTTTCTAAAAAAAGTCAAATTTTGTTGTAAGCTAATTTAGAACTTTTTGATCATCCAAAAACCCTCCCTGGGCCGGTCATGTGAGGTCAAAATTTGGACACTATCGGTGCTTATAAGCAATTTTTGCTATTTTTACTATTTTCATGTTTAAATACATGAATGGAAAACAATGGAATGTTAATAATATACTTAAATGGAATACATGCGTAATTTCAAGTGACCCTCCATTAGCCATTATAGTGGCATGTACGATGTACCTTTGAAACCTTCATTTCTCTATTGGTTCTGAAGCAAGAAATGCGCGAGTCACTTTTGTAGAGAAACCACAAATAAAAATATTCAGTTTTCAAAATGGGAAATATGGATTTTTAATGCAATACTTGATCAGACAAAGCTTTAAAGGGTATTGTTGTGAATCAGAATATATTTTAATACTTTTCTTAATCTTTTAGTTTTGGTGAGTCGGCCCTCCCCTCAGAGGGGGCACGTATAGGGGGCGGGGGGCTCGCCCACCCCTCGTACGCCACTGTCTAAACCCCCTCGTACGCCACTGTCTAAACCATCGTTCAGTTTGGTTGTTTGTGGTGGGTTCATTATTAAAAATTTCATCTCAGAAATTCCAAATTTCTAAAGGAAGCCTCAGGGGTTTTCTGAAGCTTTCGGTTCCCTTTCCAATGTAAGTGTTTTCAAAAAAAATTCTTTGAGTCTGGAAAAAATCTCCATTCTGGAGAATATTTTTTCCGCATTGTCCAAAAACACAACAGCCTATATGTCTTCATGACAATTATTGAAAAACTGCAGGATATGTGTAAAATTTTTATTTACATCAACCACTGTACACTGTACATGTGTTTAATGTATACAGTACATATCCAATTTAAATTGATTTTTGTGAATTTTTTTAAATATGCAAGTCTCGGCAAAACCTATCCCTAGGGTTGTTAATCGTTTTTGAAAACGATCATTAATTAAACAAAAAAAACGATTGTTTTTCAAAAAAATGAAAACATTAACATCCCTACCTATCCCAACATAAAATATGTTAGTTTCAGCAAGTTACCAGAACTATAAAATCAAGCATTTGCCACCAAGACAAGAAGGTGAAACGTCCGGCTATCATTTAAACGACATTTTGTTTTGGTCGCTGGGTGGGATTGCTTTTATATATTTTTCCTTTTTCATTTTCTAAGATTAAAATCTATATACCTAGACATAAAGACCCCAAAGCTAAACTCTTTTCAAAACGATTCAAATGGGTCAAATCGTTTAAAACAAATTTTTACTTTTTAAACTTTTTTTTTAATCTACACTGCCATTGTAAACTTTTTATATACACAACTTTTCATGTTGATAATTGGAAATCTATAAAACTTTAGAGAAGAATGAAGAATACTGACACGCCATATTTTTAACATAACATTACTCGAGTTTTGTTTGTTTTGTGAAATCGGAACTTTAGTTCGGATATATCTTATATTGAAAACTTAATCTTGATATCCAATATGGACACTTTTAAATTTAAGATTCTATGCTTGATCCCTCAATTATAGTTGTCCCTGGAGAGTTTGATCACCACGGGATATCGAAGAGGAACATAAATTGATCCGTATAGATATTCATAAGATGGAGATCAATGCTTGATCCTAAGATTTACAACTTAAAAGTTCTAGCTTCTGAAAACATTCTTGCTTGAACATTTTGTATGTGTTTTAAACACCTTCATTTTCTAGAGAGTTTATTTTAGTTAAAATTTAATGTTAGATCATTACACAAAAACCCCAGAACACACTTTTCTTAAATTATGATTAGGGCAATTAGTAGCATGAAAATGTTCTTAACTTGGTTTAACAAATCTAGCTAAGTTAAGTAGGTCAACTTGTATAGGGAAAACTTTAGTTTAGTTGAATTTGAATTTGATGTTACTCTATATCTTAATTTAATAGAAAATAAATTTACATATTCTGTTTTATAATTCTGAAGCTGACATGCGAAGAAACCTCATTTTTGTGTTATTTGAGGACTTATTTCATTAAACCATGATTTATATTCAAATTAACGCAATTGATACCTGGCCTTTTGTTTAGCCTTCGATGTAAAAATTTGGTATTTTTTTACAGTGTTTTACATTTACCAAAGCTCATTCTGTAACAAATATATTACAATTCTTTTAAAATTGTTTTTTTTTAGAAAACTGAAACTGCAAAAGATGAATTATTTTCGCAATCCGTGAACGAACAGATGGAAGAACATGACACCGAGGAAGAGAAGGAGGAGGACGAGGATGAGAAGGAGGTGAAGGAGAAGGAAAAGAAGGAAAAGAAGGAAAAGAATGTGGAGAAGGAAGAGAAAGAGGAGGTGGAAGAAATTCTTGTAAATTTTACTGACGAAAAAGCGAACGACAAAGAAGAAAAGGAGGAGATAAAAACACACAGCGCACAATTGGATCCAGCAAGGTGAATCCCCCC